TGTGTTATGTTTACCTCTGATGCTCTCTCTAGGCTGATAAATTTGTATAAAAATCTATGATGGGTTTTCAAATAAGAAAAATAAACTTTTGAGTGATGGAAGAATAAACCTTTTCATTTATAAAAAAAACATGCGCTAAGTTTCAATAGCGTTTCTTAATTGTCATTATAACGTTCTTCCCAGAGTCATTTTGTTTTTCACATTCACTCTTGTTCCGTGGGTTACTTAAAAATAGATGGCGTATAGGAAGACGTGCAGGAATTTGATGGCAAAATCTCACAGGAAACGTCACCTGAAAGACCAACTGTGAGATGGAAGATAACATTAAGGCCAGTCGTACTGGGAAGTGAATGGCGCTGATTCAGGGTCGTGTCCAAAGATGGCCTTCGGTACTAGCGGCTTACAGTCTTCGACTTCTGTAGTGAGATCAGTCTGAGGGATGTAGATTGCAGGGAGTTTGGCAGAATTGTGTCAACTGAAGACCTTTGCGTAGGGCTCCTACACCTTCCGACACGGGGAACCGGGTTAGGGGCATGGGAGTGAAGCTGTACACTGACCTCCAACTAGTGCTGAGGTCAAGAAATGTGGATCTATGCATCCACTCTCCAATAGGTCTTCATGGCCCAGTGCTTAATTAGTTAAGCACAAGGACAAATTTACCTTTACCTTTCACACTTTTCGACTCTTGTAAATAGTGCCAGGTATTTGTTTCAATTTATTCCCTTCTTTATTATGTAATATAGTCCCTCCTCACCGAACACCAAAGATTTATAACTTTCTATATGAAATTTGTATTGATAAATCCATAGAGACATTTAATGCCAAGTACTGAAACGTACTGAGTATATGTAAGCTACAAAGCTGTGAGGTTCAGTATTCTTAGTCCTGAACATTTTGCTGTTCTTTGTGCCAAGTTTCATGGAAAAAGATAATTTGTTTAGTACATTATAAGGTAAAGATAATTGATGCATCTCTGTAGTGCTTTTCCTTTCGGAGACCAGTGTAGAGAATCAAAGCAGACAAGATCACTGCACAAGAAGGCGTACCGCCGTCACGTACAGGAACATGGCTACCGGACCAGTTTGTTTGCCACACAATCACAGCAATTAAGCTGGGATTGTCGTTTTGTTGCTCTGAAGACGTTCTTCGTGAAGAGGTCGACTTGTATTACGATCCTTCACTGATTTATTTCTCACACCAGTTGTAAGAATAATAAGGCCGTTATCCCACGTAACTCGCTCTAGTGCAGCATTTGCCGAGTGTAAAAGTTTGATTTATTAAAAAAATGCATATAATTAGTGAGAGGCTGTGTTTTTCTGAAAGAGTAAAAAGATCTGCTGTAGAACTTGTGACACTATTCTTTAAATTACTTCAGGGTAAAATTTTAATCTTAGGGCTTGTGCACGCGTCCCAGGAAACGCGACTCTACTAGATGCTTACAAAATCCATTCACAGTCGGAAAATATGATTCCACTATTGTACAGGCTCAGAAATTATTATTCATTTTCTTGAGTTAAATATTTGGCATGGGCCTTATTAAATATATTTGAAATAAAAGTTGTAAATTTTAAAGTAAAAAAAGGTAAAATTAACCCTGAACCTCCCTTCTCCAGTTCACAAGAAGGGTGATAAATTTGACTGTAGTAATTATGGTGGGATATCACTGCTATTAACTTCATACAACATTTTGGCCAATATCCTTCTCTCAAGCTTAAGTCTATATACAAATAAAATTTCTGGGGAATATCAGTGTGGGTTTCGACGTAACAGATCATCTACTGAACAGATATTTTTGCATTCGTCAGGTAAAAGTAAAGTTTTCCATGTACTTAACAAATTAAGGACTTCACAATGAAGGCGTATGGGGATTGGGTTTATAGATTCACATTTTCTTGTTCTCAGCACTAGCTGGAGGTGAGTGGTCAGCTTCAAGCCCTTGCCGCTTTACCCCCGAGGAAAGAGCCCCCGACACCCATTAGATGGGAGGTTGGGTGGAAAAATATATAAGAAATCTGCAAGCGGAGAGACCGTGAGAACCGGTAAACCTCCGAAACGTCGGTTAACACCACATATACACGGTGCCAAATCCCAGAAGACTGCTTTCTTCATAGTCACCGCCGTGAAAGCCTCAAATCTTACAGAGAAATTTCTTGCCCCACCCGGACTCGAACTCCGACCCCTCGGACGTCCAGCCCGTAACTAGTCGCTATATCCACTGCGCTATCACGGTTCGTAGTATTCGTCAGATACTGGAGAGNGTTTGGGATACCCATGAAACTAGTTAGGCTGATTAAAATATATTTAAACGATTCGTGTAGTAAAGTCCCGACAGGTAAACATTTGTCTGATAAATTTGCTATCCAGAATGGTCTAAAACAAGGAGATGCTTTAAATCAACTACTTTTCAACTTTGCTTTAGAATATGCCATTAGTAAGGTCCAAGAAAACAAAGTGAGACTGGATTGAAAACGGAAACATCAGCTGTTGGCCTATGCTGATGATGTGAATCACTGTGAGATAACATAGATACCATAATGAAAACACAGTCACTTTAACTGACGCTAGTAACGAGGTTGATCTTGAGGTAAACACAGAGAAAACTAAGTATATGTTGCTGTCACGTCATCAAAATGCAGGGCAAAATCATGATATAACGACAGAAAACATATGTTTTGAAAATGTGCCACATTTCAGTTTTCTGGGAGCGACTGTAACAACTTGATTCAGAAGGAAATTAAGAGGAGATTGAACTCGGGCAATGCTTGCTACCATTCAGTCCAGAATCTTTTGTCTTCTCGTTCGCTCTCTAAAAACATATTAAAACACAAAACTACAAGCTTTCCTGTTGTTTTTTTATGGATATGAAACTTGGTCTCTGACAATAAGAGAGGAACATAGACTGAGGGTGTGTGAGAACAAAGTGCTGAGGTGAATATTTGGACTGTAGAGAAATGAAGTGACAGGAGACTGGAGGAAAATGCGTAATGAGGAGCTTCATACCTTGACCTATTCACCAAATATAATTAGAATGATCAATTCAAGTAGGATGAGATGGACAGAACATGTAGCACGAATGGGGAGAAGAAGAATACACATAGGATATTGGTGGGAAAACCAGATGGAAAGAGACCACTAGGGAGATCAAGAAGTATTTGAGTAAACAATATTAAAACCGATTTTAGAGAGACAGAATGAGGTGGTATGGACTGGATCGATCTGGCTCAGGATAGGGACCATTGGCGGACTTTTGTGAACACGGTAATGAACCCTCAGGTTCCATAAAGTCCTGGGAAGTTCCTGAGTAGCTTCATAATTGGCAGCTTCTCAAGAAGGGCTCAGCTCCATGAAGTTACTTAACTCTCTCTGTAATGGACCGTGGAGGCCCATAGGGTTTTGAGTAGCCGATGCTCCCACATTTTCTATGCACTCGGCTCACAGATGGCGGAGAGGTTGTCAGCCTAATGCGCCGGCTGGTACTCATTTCTGTTAGAGGCTGAGCAGACCCAAGGCCATAGTGCTGCTGGAAGGATTAGGTCAATTTAAAAGTCCAGTGACCTCATCGGGAATCTAACTCACGCCCTTCCGGCTTGTAACATAGTGATTAACCAACCACGCTACCGCGTGCCTCATTGTAAACCTTAAGGAACTGTATTTAAATTTCGTAGACGAACCGATTTTAAAGAAACTATAAATTTAAAGTTAAACTTTATTTAAAGAAAGTTATATGTCACTGGTACAAATCAGCAAATATGGAACAACAAGAAAAGGTGGAATTAGAAATGGAAATTTTATTGAAGAATCTGTTATTCAAACTTTTATTAAGTTCGCTGGTACAGAAGTAATTACAATATGGTTTGCCACATGAAACGTATGAACAGATTAAGCACACTGAAAGGGCATTACGTTAAATGTAACGAACCCATGGGGCGATCCGGGAGGATATGGTTCAGCCAGGTTGTAAGACATCAAGAAGAGAGGACAGAGGTGAGAAAAAGAACACGGGAAGCAGAAACCAATACAAACATTTACTAAGTCCCATGTTTCAAAATAAACGTACTTTCCTGATCCGCAATCAGTCTATTTCTGTTTCAACTTCATAAAAATCTAGCTTACTTTTATCAATGTACTCTTTACTTTAGGTAGGCCTACTTAAATTCTGATATACGGCATTTTCAAGCTATTATTAAACCGAATATAATTTATTAATAAACATTAATTTTATTTTCACTACTTACCATTGTTTTACTCGCATCACTGCTGTTATTATAATAAAAATAACAATATTAACAATTATTTTATTATGCTGCTCTTTTGTGAGATAACTCAGTCAGAAAAGCGACTAGGCTAGAGAGTGGATGACCAGGAATTAAGGGTTCGATTCCAGGTGGTGCGGAAATACTTTTCACTTTTTCCACAGTATCTACATCAGCTCTGGGGCCCACCTAGCTGCCTTTCCAATGGGTATTGTGTACTTTTTCTGCAGGGTTAAAGCAGATGTAGCATGAAGCACACTACTCACTTCCAACTGGGACCGACGTAAAGAATGTTTAGATCTGTGACCGTACTTCACTCTCTTCGAGTTTTCATGGTGTGATGCTTAATATAGCACAGGAAGGGGAAGGGAGTACATTCCTTCACAAAATTATTCACATTATCCAACCCACTTTTATTCATAGAATATATAGGAGTACATCACCAATCCCTTACCGTTACAAACTTTCTACTATAACTGAATTACTCACCGTGGTCCAGTACTTGAAATACCCTTAAGACAATGAGTATAACTATATCATACTACATCAGCATCCCTCCCTGAACGTAACCAGTGCCCCAGTTCCACCCAAATGTCTCAGTTCAAAAAGGACGAAAATGAAGGCGTTAGCGAAGAAAGCGAGATGGAAAGCTATGACAACAGTCATGTGTTCCACTTCGAGGCCTAGCAGTGGTTTCCCTCCAGTGACTGGTAAGTCCGCGAGAGTGCCGGTTCTGTGGCAGTGCGGTGCTTGTTTTTTGTTACTTGGAAGAATGGAAGGGACCAACAAAAGATAAGAGCACCACGGCAACGACAATAATGTGTCTTCTTGCATTTCTAGTATTGCTATGGTTGCCATGCAAAGCCGTTCGCTTTCCTTCCAACAATTATGTGCAAACAAATAATAGTGCCAACTTCAAGGAAAGAATTTCCCTTCACACAAATCTAAATGTAAATTTAAATCACGGGTACGTGTCGGATATTCAACATATTTTACCTCTAAATTATAGAATAACATCAGATTCTCAAAATTTATCTCGAAACTACGGTCAAAACACGAAAGAAAATCCTATTTTAAACTACGAAAAGGCTGTTGAAGACGACCATTTTCTGAACCAAGAGAAAACGTCAACTGTTCTACAGCGTTCTCTTAGGCAGACAGCGCCGCAAGAAGATTCGACCTTCCGTTCAAGATACATCTCAAACATCTACGGAGACTCACTACTATCCCGTAACAAAGTGGAAAAACAAACCAGCAACACCCTTGGTGTAACAGAAAGTGTACGGAACTCTTCGCCTTTCAGCTACAGACAATCGGAAAGCAAATTTAAGTTCACAAGTGACGACAACCCGACTGTGAAACACCTGCAACATGACCACCAAGATCTCAACACCAGACAAACTGTTGTGAGTGTAGAAGAGAGGGCTGAGCAAACAGAGGATCGGAGATTGAGACGGTCAGACCACACGAAGTTGACTAGCGAGGAACAAGAACTCATGTTACTGGATGTTCTGCACCAGAAGACCAATTCTACCAGCAGAGGATTCGAGTCAACCTTGGCTCATATGCTGGGAAAAAGTGAGTCAGTTTTTATTACGTTTCAATAGACCACATCCCAAGTTACGTGAATTCAGAACTTTTTAAAATTACTTAAAAGCCTTCTGTGCAAGAGCGTGTCCGAAATAGCGAATCATGTATACACAGATAGCATGATAAGTAAATAAGGCGCGAGTTCGTCTGTCTACGAACTCGGAAGATTATTCATCCTTTCGGTAGAATTGCTTGAAGTGAGCAATGTTCGAGCTGCTCGTTTTCTGAGATCCACACATTTCTGCTACATGCAGTGTAAGGAAATTATCGTGATCAAGAGAACGTTATCTTAAATTTTAAGTTGTCGTAGTCCGAAAGGGTGGTTTCTTTTAAAAAAAAATACTAATTCTGTTGTTAATTGTACATATATGCTTATTAGGACACTCGGCATTAAATTTCAGGATAAGCACTAAGAATGGGCGAAATTTTTCCATAGGTTGCTGTATATCGTAATATTCTAAATGCAGCTATGAAATTGAACATATTGTGGAGTGCCGCCAGGAAGGCGGGACTGTAGAACGTCCAATGTTAGTCAATGGCTAGCAATTCCTAGGCAAAGGAATATAAACAGGCCGTTGCCTAGGGAAGTGCTTAAGCCGTTTTCCAGCAATGGACGTTCTGAATTCCGACCTTCCTGGCGGCACATCACAATATTTTGAACTCATTTCAACAGCTTCTTAAACACGCAAATTAGCGTACACTTTTCTCGACAAATAATGCTACTATTATAATATATCTTTCTTTTCATACTTTCCAAAAACAATAGTATATTTGTCGCCTGCTGCATTTTACAGTCGATGTACACCACTAAACCAGCGCCATGAATTCAAATAGACCCCTCCACTAACTGTCTCTAATATTTACATGAAAAATGTACTGCATGTCGTTCATGTTAAATTTGATTTGTTTCATTCTGGTCCGTCACACTAACAATTACAAATACAAACCACTCCGTCCAATGTGACATATAAGTTTTACTACGTGAGAACTTATCTCCCTTACATGTTTCGGTCATTACGGACCATCTTCAGAGGGAACATCATTAGAAACTGGAAACTACCAGTAGTAAAATCTTATATGTCACATTGGACGGAGTGGTTTGTATTTGTATTTGTCATTGATGTTAAGTATGAGATCAGTTGCCATTTAATGACGCCTTTCTTTAGGAAAACGATTACAGAAATCGAAGCTAAAAAAAATTACTTGTACCTTCATCATAAAAAATAAATATTTGAATATAGGTACTTTCGTTTCCATCTGATAGCCAATTAACTAATCTACCACCTAACTCTATGAAGCATATTCCTTGTTGAGAAGTTAATGTTAAACTTAAAAGTTTAGCACCCAAATGGTCCCGAGTTCGATCCCGATCTTCGATACTAACGTCGGAAGAAGAGTCGGGAGTACAGCCAACTACTGACCATGTTAAGAAAGCAGTCTTCTGCGATTTGGCACCGTGTATATGTGGTGTTAACCGACGTTTCGGAGGAACATATCGCCTCCATCTTCAGGATAGAAGAAAAATATAAGAAATCTGCAAGCGAAGAGACCGTGAGAACCGATACGTTCCTCCGAAACGTCGGTTAACACCACATATACACGGTGCCAAATCCCAGAAGACTGCTTTCTTCATAGTCACCGCCGTGAAAGCCTCAAATCTTACATACTGTTATGTTGTGTGCACTTTTCCTACCTCACAGAAAGAACAATGGCCAACAAAATAATTCGAAGCGTGAAGGATATTCAGTTTTAAAAAATTTAATACCAGTGCTATTAGAATATTTTACAGACATCGTCAATTGATTGTCACCCGATTATATGGAATTACAGGAGGCACGGTGTAACGTAGTTGGTTGAAGCATTATGCTGCAAGCCGGAAGGTCGCGGGTTCAATTCCCGATGCTGTCATTGGATTTTTCCAATTGAGCTAATCCTTCCAGTCGCAATATGGTCCTGGGGTCGACTCGGCCTCTAACAGAAATGAGTACCTAGAATATTCTTGGGGGTAAAGGGCGGCCGGCGCGTAGGGCTGACAACCTTGCCGCCATCTATGAGCCGATTGTCTAGGAAATGTGGGAACTTCAACATCTCACAAACCTATGGTTCTTTATGGCCTGTTACAGGGATACTTTTACTTACATTTTTTTTTACTTTTTTAAGTAAAGCTGTGAGAACCTAAAATCCAAAAAGATACACATACCTTCTTATTTTCAACCAAGTTTATTTAGATTTTTACATGCTCAAATAAATTTTTACAAACGAAAAACCATTTAACCTATATCCGATAATGCACTGTTAAACATACCACACATGCCCACTTTGGAGGCTTCATAAAAATATACACACTTCCAAACTACAGACGCAAACGTAAATATGTAGGTGCTTTCGCTGCCATCTCTGTCGCTTAGTTGAACTTTTATATTTGTGACTGTCAAGCACAGGACGTTTACAGAGGAGTGTCGTTACGTCAGACTACTGCTACTCAGGCCGGAAGGCCGGCGTATTTCTGATTTTGCAAATAGAATGCGTCCACTATGACTGCATATCGGATTTCCCTCATCTCAGGCTTTAACTGTGTACTTCCATATGACCTGCCTTTTCTTTTCAGACATTTGATTCTTAATGAAATAACAAAGGCCGGGATATATCAGTAAAGCGACAATCGAGGACGATGAGGAATCAGGGTTCCATTTCAGGTAGAGAATTTTTCTCCTCTCTGCAGCGTCCAAAATCTCTCAGGGGCTATCTATATTTTTATCCAATGGAATCAGAGACATTTTCTCCTAATTATGCGGCCGGGACGCGTAACTGACCGCTCCAGAAATGTAAGGTTACACTGGTTACATTGCCAGCGTTTCTCCATATTATACTGCTTAATAAAGCAACCCTGTTTTTATTAAATGACAGAATTTTGATAGTGTATAATATAACAACGAGTAAAGTGATAGACTTCCACAAAATTCAACCGGAAAACTTAAAGGGAGAAACAACTTCAGAGAGAGGCCCTTGCTGACATGGCTATAACTGTTTAATTTCTGTAAAAACGTGGGAATTTCTTGACCAGCCCAAGAAGGACTGCTCAATGGAATTGATTAACCTATATCTCCTTGCAAGCAGTTAATCAGAAAGTAAATCATTCATCCTTCCCTTGCATTTAACATGTGGTGGTCAAAATCAATGGCGATAAAAGCATTTCCTGTTTCAGATAATTCTGAATATGAAATGCATTTATTAATGACGAACTTCTTCTAGGTTAAATCAATTCTGATTAACTTAACCAATTTCTTCAGTATATCAAAATATATTAAAATATTGCTTATTATTTCTCTCCTCAAGGAGTTAAAAACCTTCAGGAAGTAGACATGTAAAAAGCTGACATACTGCCCTACTGTATGACTTATTACCATAGGTCTGGATTATTTATTGCTCGTTTACTTACTGCAAGTCTTCCCACAACTTTTAAAACAAAATATTTTATTAGTACAGTAGAGACTTCTACTCATTCCCTCCCTGTTCAGCATTCACAATAATCATCCCAAATGACGCACATCCTGTGTTACAGTGATTCCTCAAACATGCTGGTACAACAGCTTCAAGTTTGATTGCGGCCTCAGCATCTCCTGCGTGCTGGCTGGCGGGAAGCCCCTGGACCTGTGCAGCGGTGGGCTTCTCTGGAGCTGCTGTGTGTCCCGCGACAAGATACACACGAACCAGCAGGAACCGAATGTGGGAGCCCTCGAGAATGCCAGTAAGTACAAATTGAACTAAAACAACTATTATGATAATATTAATGGGTGTATCGTGCCTAATGGGACTTGTAATTCATTATTCACAAGTCAAGCACTATGTGTACGTATACACGGGGTTACTGTAACTAGTTTTGCCTTTTACAAAATACTTTAGCTGGTAGAAACGTATCATATTTTGTACAGGAAGAATTTACAACATTTTTTACGAGACAACTACCAGAACATTCCAAGTTTCGTACAAAATATTTGACTCGATTGGAACTATACCGCGGTGATTATTACTGAGAAGTTTCTCCGATAACACTTCAGGAAACAGAATCTTGTGAGAGGAGCCCATGTTTACAGAACTGTCGAGCAAGATTTCTCTGAAGTTTTACTCGAAAGAAATCATCACTGTCTGCAAGTCCACACGTAACAACTACTCTTGAATCTCTGCCCATCTCGTTCGACGTTACAAAACCTCTGCAGCTGAAATAGCTTCATTACAGACACCAGAATCAATGAATAACGATAGTATAACCTAAAAACATAGAAATTAAAATATTCAAGACTATAATTTTACCTGTAGCTTTGTATGGATGTGAAATTTGGTCCCTGATATTACGGGTAGAACATAAGATTGAAGGTATTTCAGAAAAGGGTGTTGAGAAAATGTTTGGACCGAAGAGGGTTAAAATGATAGGAAGTCTGTAAAATTACACAATGGGGGACTCCATAAATAAACTTAAAATTGCCACATATAATTGGAAAAATCAAGTTAAAAAGGATGAGATGGGCCAGGAATGTAGCACACATGATGAGAAAAGGGGTGCATATAGGGTTTTGGTGTGGAAGCCAGGCAGAAGGAGATCACCAGGAAGACTTAGACGTATGTAGGAAAATATTATTAAAATGGATATTAGAGACACAGAATGGGGTGGTATGAAACGGATTGATCGAGCTTAGGATACGGATCAGTAGAGGGCTCTTGTGAGCAGAAATGAACCTTCTAGCGTAATATAATTTTCATGAATTCCTGAGTATCTGAGCAAGTGATTGTTTCTCAAAAAGCGCTCAGCTCCATGGAGTTGGTTAGTAAAGTAGACTGAGAACAAAATTTACTCTGTGTCAATTTATTGTGTGTCTTTGTCCCCATATTAACTTCTGAACAAATACAAACCACTCCGTCTAATGTGACCTATAAGATTTTACTACATGAAAACTTATCTCCCTTACATGTTTCGGTCCTTACGGACCATCTTCAGAGGGAAACATCATTACAAACTTGGAAACTACCATCACAAAAGTTGTTTTGATTTAAATTACATACGATAAATGATATAAAGTCCGTCTTAAGTGCAAACAATATATTTTGTGTCTTTGATCTTGCTCCCTACACTACATGTTTCGGCCTCAGACGGCCATCATCAGGTGTATAACACTCACGTCGCTGTCACACTGCACCCAGTTCAAAATTTAACATCTAAAACACTCTCCCTGTCATTATCAACTTCTACTTCGTTGATAGCTGTCCACCCGTAGATTACTTCACACACGTTAATTATGAGTTTATTGTAATAGCACCATAATAAAATCTTTAGTTCTAATTTTAAACCTTTAAATTCTTGT